CCATATTTGAAAATCAAGTCTGGGACTTGGTTAACTTACCCGAAGGTTACACACCTATTAGATGTAAGGGGATTTTCAAGTTGAAAACCGACATAGATGGAAATGTATTTATTTACAAAGCTAGATTGGTAGCAAAAGGTTATAGACAAGTTCATGGTATTGATTACGATGAAACCTTTTCTCTTGTCGCAATGCTTAAATCCGTTCGGATCCTCCTACCGATTGCTGCATATTACAACTATGAAATATGGCAGATGAATGTCAAAATCGCCTTCCTAAATGGTATTTTTGAAGAAACTATGTATATGACACAGCCTGAAGGTTTTATCGATCAAAACAACGCTGGAAAGGTATGCAAGCTTAAGAAATACATTTATGGATTAAAGCAAGCAAGTAGAAGTTGGAATCTGTGATTTGATGAAGCCAACAGTAAGTTTGGTTTTATCAAGAATCCAGAAGAGTCTTGGGTTTACAAGAAGGTAAGTGGGAGTGACATCGCCTTCCTAGTCTTATATGTCGATGACATATTACTCATTGGAAACGACATTCCGTTTTAAGAGTCTGTAAAGGCTTGGCTCGGAAAATGTTTTTCAATGAAAGACTTGGGAGAGGCTCAGTACATACTAGGCATCAATATCTATAGGGATATATTGAAAAGGATGATAGGATTAAGTCAAAGTACCTATATAGATAAGGTTCTATCTCGATTCCAAATGGAAGGGGCCAAGAGAGGTCACCTACCCATGTCACATGGCATAACCCTAAGCAAGAAGCAGTGTCCAAAGATACCTGATGAGCAAGAAAGGATGAATTAGATTCCATATGCTTTGCTAATTGGATCGATCATGTATGTCATGATTTGTACAAGGCCATATGTATCGTATGGCCTGAGCGCTACGAGCCAATACCAATCAGACCCAGGAGAGGCGCATTGGACTACGACCAAGAATATCCTAGAGTACCTAATAAGGAACAAGGATAAATTCCTGGTCTATGGTGGCAGAGATGAATTGGTTGTTGAGGGTTATACTGACGCAAGCTTCCAAACAGACAGAGACAACATTAAGTCACAATCTGGGTACATATTCTGTCTCAATGGAGGAGCGTTTAGTTGGAAGAGTGTTAAGCAAAGCACAACTGCAGATTCTACAACTGAAGCCGAATACTTCGCAACATCTGAAGTAGCTAAGGAGGCAGTTTGCATTTGCAAGTTCATTGGTGAACTTGATGTTGTACCCTCCATCAAGGGTCCAATAAACCTCTACTATGACAACAATGGAGCTATTTCTTAGGCAAGAGAGCCAAGAGAACATCAGAAGGTCAAACATGTCTAGCGGCGGTTTCGCATGAATCGAGAATGGAAATCAGAATTTGTAAAGTTGGAACGGATGACAACGTAGCCAATCCATTGACTAAACCTTTGTCTTAAGTGAAGCACAACAAGCACGTTGAGGCAATGGGAATCAGGCACATCGGAGATTAGCTTTAATTTCCTTATTTTAGTGTTTTAATTAATTTTGGACAATTTTAATGTAGAACACTATGATGAACCATTCAGTTTTGGAGTACTTAAAATTTTCATGCGATTTAAATCACTCCATTGACTATTTCATTGTTGTCTAGAATTATATATTGATTCCATTCGACTTTTAGAACATTCAAAATAGGGTACCAAGACAATGTCTTGGATAAGGAAACACCTATTAAGTGAACGTTGAATATTATAATAAAAAATTATCCCTAATCGAGGTCACTTAAGCGATGGACGATTAATGACCACTTTAGATTAGTGTGTAGTTTGATTTTATAGCACCGTTTCTTGTGCTACAAGGACGTGATCATCATAAATCATTTACACATGTATTGGTTTAGAACCGTACTGGATCGACCTATGAAAATACTTTAAGAGATTAAAAAATTGTCATAAGTATATTTCTCATTATTGCTATGGGAACCTTTTTCCTCGACCATGGGTATTGTCAGTTCTCTTGTTTGAGTACTAGTCCACTTTGTTGTTGGTCAAACGTCTGTTGTACATGGAGATTATAACAACGACAAATGAGTAGCTAGGTCCTCTTAGTAAGATTAGCTACATTACAAGACATGAAATGTCTCCCTATTAAAAATAGGGAAAATGTCTTTGTTGTTTACAAGGCTTCTTGAAGAGCGAGACTGTAAAATGCATAGCCGTGCTCGGATGGATTTTAGAAATCACCTGTTTATTGACAATCGAACTTGGATTTCAAGAAACACTTCTAGACGTAATAAGGAAGACGAATAAATCTTACATTATAGTTCATGAAGAGGCATTAAGCGACATAGGAAAAGGGTTATATACTATCAGCTCACTTTTTCGGAAGGACAAGTAGGAGATTGAAAGGAATGGTGCCCTTCAAACTAGTGTATTATTCCAATAGGGGGTTCGAAATTATTAGAAAGACAATTATTTAGTGAGGTCAAGTGATCGAAATGCCTAGGTGGAGGTCGCTACCGATAAGTAATATTAATGTATAATTAATATTACAGCTTAATCTTCACTAAACCCAGGCATTATGCATTAATATTACTGATCGGAAGCGGCCTCCACCCAGGCATTCCGATCACTTGACCTTAATGAATATATATTTTCTTTCTAATAATTCTGAACCCACTATCAGAATAATACACTTGTTCGAAGGACACTATTCCTTTCAATCTCTCGCGTGTCCTTTCGGAAAAGTGTGCTTTTAGTGTATATCCCTTTTTCCTATGTCGCTTAATGCCTCTTCATGAACTATAAGATAAGATTTATTTGTCATCCTTATTACGTCCCAAAGTTTTTCTCGATTCCGAGTTCGACTATCAATAAACAAATGATTTCTAAAATCCATCCGTGCACGGCCATGCAATTTTACAGTCTCGCTCTATGAGAGGCCTTGTAAACAATAACGACATCTTCCCTTTTTTAGTAGGGGGACATTTCCAGTCTTGTAATTTAGCTTCCCTTACTAAGAGGACCTAGCCGCCCGAGTGATGTCGTTATAATCCCCTATTACGACAAACGTTTGACAATCATCAAAGCGGACTAGTACTCAAACAAGAAAGCTCACAATACTCATGGTCGAGGAAAAAGGTCCCGATAGCAATAATGAGAATTATACTTATGACGATTTTAATCTCTTAATGTATTCTCATAGGTCGATCCAGTATGGTTCTAAACCAACACCTTTGTAAATGATTTATGATGATCATGTCCTTGTAGCACAAGAAACCGTGCAATAAATCAAACTACACACTAATCTCAAATGGTCATTAATCGTCCATCGTTTAAATGACCTCGATTAGGGATAATTTTCGATTACAATATTCAATGTTCACTTAATAGGTGTTTTCCTTACCAAGACTGGTCTTGATACCCTATTTTAAATATTCTTAAAATTGAATGGACTCATTATTTAATCCCAAACCATAATTAAATAGAAATCAGAGTGATATAATTGTATGAAATTTTAAATTACTCTAAAACCTGAATGGTTAATCTTATGATAAATGTTTTTTCTGAATGTTTTAAGAGTATCACTCTTTATAAAACACCTATAGAAATGACACCCATATCTAATATGCTTGATTTCTTTCATGCAATTGCGAATGTTGTCTTTCACTTATTGCATAGATTTAGTTATAACTACTTTTCTAATCTTAGCATCTACATTACTGATTACTTTCATAATAAGATGATAAAATTTGAGAGTGTCATGGATTATATGTGATTTAAGATTTATTGTCCAAGTGATAGGTCTCACTCATTTACATGATTGAGATCTTCAACTTGACAACCTACAATCATTAACGTTCAACAACGAACTTTCCATAGAACATCTTCTTTATTATTGCCTTATTCAGGCAACAATATTCTCAACATATATTTTAGTAGACTTCATGATGATGCTTTGCTTGGGTTTCACTCCAAACGGCTCACGATGATTTGGGATACCCTAATCACTTGTGATCATGGAAAATTACTTTAAATTCCCGCACATTACACTTGGATGCACATCCATGTTAACATTCTCAAGCCACAACTCATTGTTAACTCATGCTTATAAAGGTTTCCTTGTTGAGGAGCTAATCCTTGTTAAGGTTTGTACTTGCAACATCAATTCTCAAATTGTATTTGTTTCCACAAGTCAAGAACTCATCCTGTTACTTATTTAAGTACTTTGGATGTTCTTGGCCATAATCTAACAATCTATATATTACATAGATTCAGGTTGATTGGTAATACATACATACTTCACATGCTCTAAGCAAGTAAGTCGTGCGACGATTCCATATCATAGCGTTCATGATGGATTAAGTTGCAGAGTAATTCTCAATATTATTCCACCCGTGTGGCCTTTTAGCTAATTCCACTAGTACAAAAAAATGCTATTTGTAATGCCCTATTAGTAACTGGTGTATATTAGTTATGGAAGCATCAGTAGTAACCGACTAAGATAATGCCAATTAAAAATTTCATGACATTAGTAAACAATGTAGTAAATGTCAGTAACTAATATGTGGTTTATCATTATTTGAAGTTTTATTAGTAACTGACTAAATAAATTTCAGTTACAAATAATTAGTCAATAAAACTTTGACTAAAAAGCTTGTAACTAGCTTACAAACGCCAATTACAAATACTTAGTCAAAGAAAATTTGACCAAAGCTTTTGTAACTAACTTATAAACGCCAGTTACAAATATTAAGTCAAAGAAAAGTTAACCAAAACATTTGTTACTAGCTTAAAAACGCTAGTTACAAATAATAAGTAAAAGAAAAGTTGACCAAAATATTTGTAACTAGCTTACAAATTCCATTTACAAATAATAAGTCAAAGTAAATTTGACCAAAAATTTTGTAACTAGCTTACAAATGCTGGTTATAAATAATAAGTCTAACAATAATTTTGGTTTTTTTTTAAAGCAACAAATATTAAGTTTCTAGTTTTCTACTTTCTATTAATTTTATTTAATTTTCATTAATATTTTTTTGGAAAGTAATTTTCATTTAAATTTTTATTAAAGGTTAAAAAAAAGAAAAAAAAATTAAGGTAGTATTATTCAGGTAAATTCGCAGAAATAAAAAAAACCACTCACACTTTCGCTCCAATACAAACTGCTTCTCCTTCACGTCTTCACTGCTCCTCCTTTTCCTTCACCTCTCAATTAAGGTATGATTTTCGAATTAGGGTTCTAGTATTTCCCTTTCATAATTAAATTATTTTCGTCCAAATCGAATTGAATTTTGTTGTTGATCAGTTGTCTAAGTAATTTCGATTTTGTTCTTAGCAAGTACTCTATCATAACGACGAACGTCTTCTACCAGCTTCTCCCACAAATTTTTTTGCTGATTTTCGAATTTTGGGTTTAGCAATATTGCTTCAATTGAGGTTTAAAGGTATGTAATATTCGAATTAGTGTTCTTGTAATTATCCATTTTTTGAATTCAGTAAAGCCCTAAAATTCGAATTGAATTGTCTTCCAATTCAAATTGAATTTTGCTGTTGAACGCTGCTGTGGTTGTTGTTGTGTTGTAATTGTAGTTGCTTGTTACTTTATCTCGGTCTAATAGTCATGCTATGATGCTAATGTGTGTATTAAACCAGTGATGCCTTTTCTTTTCACTTTGACTGCTGTTCATGGTTGCTATTTTCCTATATCAGTTTAGTTTCCTTTTACAATACCCTATACCCCATATGCTGCTAGAGAAACCACTTTTTTCATTTTTCTTGATTCCTTATTTAATGTTTTGTGCAAGGTAGCATTGAGCTATTCACTTACTAATTTAGAGTGAAATAATATGCAAAGTATATATACATAGTAGACACATGATAAGAAAAAATGTGCAACTATTTTGGATCCTTTTGAGTTTTAAGTGACGAGATAGTACTTGACCAATTCACTAATACTAAAATTAGTAGCCATCAGTTACTTTTTGCTAGGTCCGATATCAACATTCAAGTTCAAGTTCACAACTTGGATAGCTGCAAAAATGGAATTGTAATATGCATTAATGAGTATTTCTTTGCTTCTTTTTTTTTTCTTTTCTTTTTTTTTTGTGAATCCACAAATTTTTGTGTCTATAATCCATAGTTAAGTTTCTAGACCCAAAAAAAAATACGGAGTACGAAAAAATAATTTCTGATTCAGTTGTTTGGGTTTGGGGAACATGAAAGTTGTTAATGAATAGTCAAGAAATATAACTTGTTTAAATAAAGATTATATTGTAGGATTCATCTTTTTAGATTTCAGGTAATGTTTTGGAGTAACCCTGGAACCCTTAGTTATTTTTTAATATGAAGCATTGAAGCATATTGAAAATAATAACTAGGTTAATGTCAGTTTATGATGATAAATGGATAATATTATTTATTTTTTTATAAAGATTGTTAATGTCGATGGTTTGCATCTATATATTTGGGTTCTCGTTGCATGATGAACACTCACCATAAAGCTCAAGTATGTGAGATTGCTAAAGTTTGATCAGTGAGATTTTCCACAACCTATCAAATTTATACATATTCGTAGGTGGATATGCATTTCTTACAGAGATTACTGATTTGGGTTCTTGTAGTATTTATAGTTTTACACTTTGCTATGTGGGTTTGCAGTCATTTGTGTTGTACTTATGCATTAGACTTAGTTGCTACTAGATGTCTGCACTACCTGAAATGTAAACGAAACATGTGTGCCTCTGTTTGGTGATTGGATATTTGGACATATTATGGAATATTCCCTACCGGCATGCACTGTTTTCCATTCTGAGCAATTGTTATATACCTCTTTCATCTTAAGGAATTGACGTTAACAATTAGCATTGTTTGTTAAGCAGAACATCTGCCTGCATGCAGTATTTTGCACTAAATAAAGCTTATTTAGAGCTGAAATTCAGAACTTATTTTAGAGTTGAAATTCAGAACTGATTTCAGAGCTGAAATTCAAAACTGATTTCAGAGCTGAAATTCTGAACTGATTTCAGAGCTAAAAATCAGAACTGAGTATCAAGACTAAAATGATCAGAGTTGAAATTCAAAGCTGAAAATGAGTAAACACACCAATTTTATTCGGTTACTCCAATTGGTTGTATTGATTTTACTGAACTATAATTCTAGAGAGAAAATGAAATAGTGATAGTCTAGTAGACATATATGAAGTGTGCTTGCATTTTGATCATACTTGTGAGTTTGACTATTTTTTAGGTATTTTATCATGTGGGAGTTAATTGATAATCTCTGGTTGTTGTTCTATTGTAATTGTCTTTTTTTGTTTCTAATGTACTTGTTCTAATAGTTATATGCTTGATTTTTCTATAATTTGTAGTAAGAAATGAATCGTAATTGGATGTATGTTGAAAATCGAACTCAACCCGAGTTCTTGAATGGGATTGAGGAATTTTGTAGAACTGCTACTGAACACCATAGGACTACTAAAGTGGAAAAATTCTTTTTCCCTTGTCGTGGTTGCAAAAATGTGAAGAAGTGGAAGGAAATTAGAGTGGTTGAAAACCATTTATTTCGCCGTGGGTTCATGGCAAATTATACTATTTGGTATTGGCACGGTGAGAAAAAATAATTCCTACAACTAGTAGGTCATCAATCAATGACGCTGATATGGATAATAGAGAACAATATGATGATAACAAAAGGGATACAAATGAAAATTTTGAGGAGGATTGCATACCTAAGATGATGGATGGTTTGGGTAATCATGTCCACGAAGAATCTCGTATGTTTGAAAATGTGTCAAAGGCCGCCGAGACACCTTTATATCCTTGATGTGCAAAGTACTCTAAGCTTTCTGGGTTTTAACAATATTTAACTTGAAAGCAAAGAACGGTTGGACCGATACAAGTTTCAATTTGTTGTTAGAAGCTTTATCAGACATGTTTCCTGAATTGAATGACATTCCTAAGTCTACCTACTATGCAAAGAAGCTATTGTTTCCCTTAGGTCTAGAGTACACGAAAATCGATGCATGTCCTAAAGATTGTGTACTTTTTGGAAATGAGTATGAAAACCTTGATGCTTGTCCAAAGTGGGTGTGGATCGCTACAAGCGCGAGGGTTCAAACCCCAATCGCAAGAAGTGGCCAACAACTAAGGTGTTTGGGTATCTGCCTATAATACCGAGGTTTAAACGACTTTTTTCTATCAAGAACGATGTAAAAATATTGGTGTGGCATGCACAAGAGAGGAAGATAGATGGGTATATTAGGCATCCCGTTGATTCGAAGCAATGGAAACATATTGATGATACATTTCCTGAGTTTGGTAAAGAGGCTAAGAACCTGATACTTGCATTAAGTACCGACGGGAAAAATCCTTACGGTTCCCTTAGCTCTCAACACAGCACATGGCCGGTGCTTTTGTCGATTTATAACTTGCCTCCTTGGCTCAGCATGAAACGTAAGTAGTACATCATGTTTTCGCTTCTAATATCGGGGTTCCAAACAACCCGGTAATGACATAGATGTCTACTTGGAGCCTCTCTTGGAGGATTTGAGACCGTTATGGGATAAAGGTGTTCCAATGTTCGATGCCCAGACAAGTACAAATTTTACTTTGCGTGCCATAATTTTTTGCATTGTAAGTGATTTTCCGGCTTATGGGAACTTGTTTGGGTACAAAGTCAGAGGGAAAAAACTATGCCCCATTTGTGAGGACAAAATGGAACCGACACACCTCAAGAATTTTGGAAAGGATGTTTATATGCATACTAGACGACTACTTCGTCGAGATCACCCTTATCGTAAGAAAAAAGCTGAATTCAATGGGCTCCCGGAGAAACAGTGGTTGCGTGAGCCACTTAGTGGTATAGAGTTGTGGGAAAGAATCAAAGATGTTGAGACAATTTTCAGGAAAGTTGGTAAACCTACCTCTAATCAGGGTCTTTGGAAAAAGGTGTCTACATTTTAGACTCTTCCTATTGGAAATACTTGTCTGTTAGACATTGTCTTGATGTTATGCATATTGAAAAAAATGTATGTGATTCAATCATCGGGACATTATTGAATATACCTAACAAGACAAAGGATACTAAAGATGTGCGGAAAGACATGAAGCTTGCAAATATTCGACCAAAGTTATGGCCCGTGGAAAATGACGAAACAAAAAAGTCATTTTTGCCTCCAGTTGCTACACAGTGTCTAGAGAGGAGAAAAAAATATTTTGTGAGTGTTTGTAAGACATCAAAGTACCTACAGGGTATTCGTCGAATATTAAGCGTCTAGTTTCAATGGATGATAAGAGATTAATCGATATGATATCCCATGATTGCCATTTCATGATGCAAGTGATGTTGCCTATTGCACTTCGAGGTCTTTTGCCAAAACATGTTGGGCACACTATTGTTAAACTTTGCCTATTTTTAATGCCATATGTAACAAGGTGATTGAACCAGATAAACTTGATGAAATGCAAACTAATCTTGTGGAAACATTATGCAAATTTGAGATGTATTTTCCTCCTTCATTTTTTGACATAATGGTTCATTTGGTTGTCCATATAGTGTGAGAAATCAAGGAATGTGGCCCGGTTTTTTTGAGATGGATGTACTCTTATGAGAGACACATGACAACTTTGAAAGAAAAGGCGACCAATAAAGCACATCCAGAAGGTAGTATTATTCAAGGTACCATTATTGTAGAGGAGGCTAGTAATTTTTGTTTTGTGTTCTTAACTAAGGCTTAAGAAATTGGATTTCCAACATCTTGTCATGAGGGCAGACTTCAAAGGCAAGGGACGATCGGTCATCAATTTGTGAAGCCTCCATCAGATAGAATCCAGAAAGCTCATCGTTATGTTCCTCACTACCTTTCAGAAAAGTCTATCCTTATATAGAAACACATCTCAATTATTTGAAAAGAATGAATCAAAGAATAGGTACATATGCTTTGATGCAAAAACATAATCATTCTTTTGTTGAATGGTTTCAAAACCAAGAGAAGTGTGAGTTGGGGCAACCGAATAATAATGTATCTAATACGATCAAATGGCTTTCACGGGGTCCTCAATTGTTTGTGAACACTTATGAAGGCTATGACATTAATGGGTATTGTTTCTACACTAGTCGCCAAGATGATAAGAGTGTACATCAAAATAGTGGTGTTATGGTTGTCGCATCTTCTACGGAATACTCAAACTCTAAGGATGCTAGGCCTATTAATGCAACACAGTCATATTATGGGGTCATTCAAGAGATATGGAAGCTGAATTATGTTGATTTGTAGTTCCTGTTTTTCGATGCAGATGAGATGAAAACCGACGAGGCAAAAAGATAGATGAACTATTTGGTTTTACTTTAGTGGATTCAAGTCGATTTGTTGATGGGGAGGAGCCCTTTGTTTTAGCTTCACAAGCAAAAAAAAATTTCTATATAAGGGATAACATTAATCATCACTAGCACGTTGTTGTTCAAGGCAAGAGAATAATTCTTGGTGTCGAAAATGTTGTCAATGAGGAAGAGTGTGACCTATTTGATGATACCCGCCTCTATATATTGGGGTTCAACCTCTAAGAGAGGGGGAAGACATTGTTGCTGATGAAGAGTATGCCCATGAGGAGGGAGAATATGTTGATACCTAGGCTTCATTTTTTAATTCTTTGATTAATTTGTAAATGTAATGCTAGACAATAATGTTAGATGACTATAGAATCTCAATTTTCAATTGGATTTTAGTCTTTTGAGCTTTGACACATTAAATAGAATTTTACATAGTTCTTATATATGTGGCACAAAATTGACTGTTTTTATTGGTATTATAACTTCAGGAATTAAAAAATAATGTCTCTATAGGTTTCTTTTATTATTTATATTTTCTTGCTTTGTTACTTACTTGTAGATAGATCCTTTTTTAATCTGTAAAAATATAGCTCTTTTCATGTGATATTTAATTCTATCAGTTTCCGTCTTTTGTTTTATGCAGGCACTTCTAGATCAAGGAGCATAAATAGGGCCATTCAACAAAGTTAAGAGAAAACTTCCTCTATCCAAGATGTTCGTTGCTTTGCAAGCCACATCATCTAAGAAGAGGAGTAGGGGGCCATCGAAGGCAATACAATCAAGTAAGCCTATGGTGCTTGAATTCAATGATTTTGACTTGCCTACTGGTGAGTAGGAACCAGCTTATGGAAAAAAAATTGGTGCATGTGCTAAGAGATTAGACAGCACTGTGAATGAGTATACAAAAATAGATAAAGTGGATAGGGAAAATATATGGGAGAAGACAAAGGTATAAACTATTCACTTACTAGTTATTCATGTTGCTATTCAAAATATTAATTAACTTTTTTTTAATCCACAGCGAATGTTCCACATTGATGATCCAAGTGGAGAAAGGCAAAAAAGGTTTCATGGTGCTGTGGCTTCGCGATTCAGCTGTCACAAGTCGAATTTAAGGGCACGATTCATAACTTTTAAAAACCCATACCCGACCACTTCTCCTAAAGCAAATATGAAGCCATGGGAAGTGTATGAAGGTTACTTTACAGAGGAGAAATGGAAGAGATTCAAAATCTATAGTAAATCAGAAGAATTCAAGGTAACTACATACTCACATGCATTGTTAATTAATCAAACAAAAGCTGATAGTTTCACTGAGTCTTGCTAAATTATTTTCTATGTGATATGGTTGAAAGTCTCTACTAGAGTCTTTCTTGTTTGACTTAGTATTTAGCCTAGCTCATACTTAGTTCAAACATTTACTTAGCTTTATACAAACGGGTCGAAAGTCTTTCAAAGTCCCTCAATTCATGTTTAACACGGTAAATTTCTTTACACGTTCAAACATTTTATTAAGTATATAAAATAGATCTTAATTCCCAACATGTACTAAGTATCGTCTTTAGCTTGGTCCATTGTCAAAAATACTTTCAAATCTAAGCATTTAGCATTTAATATTTATTTCACAATAGAGTTCGTAATTTTCTCGTTGGATCTTTACTTTTGCTTCCACTAAACTTATTATTCATAAGAATTTATATGTTTCTCTATAAGTGAATCCTCTTATTAACTTCATGAGAAAACATGTTCCAATTCCTATATGCAATGCTTCCTTAAATCCCATAATGGATTCCTTGAGCTTGTTTTTAAATCTAGCATTATTTAGATATTCAAAACCCTTAGACTATTTTCATAGTCACTTCCAAAATCCTATTTTAGGAAGGCGGTTTTGGTATCTATTTTGTCATATTTCATATGTGCAATTTTGCTAGAGCAATCACGAAAAGACTTTAGCATTCCGATTGGTGAATAGGTTTTTATTAAAATCAACTCTGTGAATTTAATTGTATCCTTTTCAACCAATCTAACTATGTATACATATAAATTTCCACATTTGTTTGTTTTCTCCTTGAAAACTTGTTTGCAATCGATGGGTCTTTCACCCTTTATGCAAATTAATCAAGTTTTAAAACATGATTTTCAAACATGGAGTCTATTTCGAACTTTTATGGCCTCTAACCATTATTCGAAATTTGGATTTGTCGTAGCTATTTTACAAGACAGTATTCCCTTACTATCTAATAGTAAATAGTATGCTTGTAAGTCTTAGGTTTATTTCTAACTTAATTGAAAATTTATAGGATTCAATCCATGCCTTTGGCGAATTCTATACTGATACCGGGTTATTGCATCAAACAGTGAGTTTCAAGGCGCTTCCAAAGCCCTTTGATTTTCTTGATCTTACTCCAACTTTTCAAAAGTTTTTTGAGAAATGAATTATTTTTTAAGGAACTTGTAAAGTCCTTTTGAGTATTCTTGATCAAGTATTCTTACGAAGCCCTTTAAAGGTCTTCCGAGATTCTCAGCTCTAGTTTGTTGCTAAGCTCGATTGTCATCGAGTTCATTTTCCTCCCACTTGTTGTTTTGAAAATGTGTTACTTTCTAGAAAGACACCACTTAGAGCAACAAATACTTTGTTTTCAATTAGGTTGTGGAGGCAATGCCCGTAGTCTCACTTGAATGCTTACAAAGAGACATGTATACTGTCTTTGGGTAAAATTCTTTATGAAACAAACAGTTAGCTCCCACTTCAGCTATCAAAGCCTTTAATGAGCCATTAAGCTCCCACTCAACCACCTAGCTCCTCCTAATTCGGTGAGATCCCACAGAGTCACTTAGCTCCCACTGAGCTAGTGAACTCCCATTGTGGCTAAGAGGTCTTAGACATATGCTTGAAAATACATTTAGAAGTTAATTCTATTAATAACTGAATATGGCGTCCGTTCTTAGCTTAGACATTTTGTTTAGTGTAACATTAGTCCTTCACACAAATCTTAAGAACTTTATAGGAAGGGATGTGATCCATCATTGTTCGAGTCATTTTTAAATGGCATCGAGGTTTCCATGAAGACACACTATGTTTTGTATGGATTTATTTATGATAATTTCAATTTCATAACTTTGTGATGGTCACGCTTGGCTCAAGCAAACATCGCTCGATCTAATCTAGACGTTTTGATATCTTGCCAAGTCGATTATGTGCTTCACTGAACTCTTGAACTATTCAAGGTCAAGTTTGTTCACGTTTGATGAATATAGCCATATTCTTTCAACTTCTTTACGAAACGTTGAAGTAAATGAATCCACTTTAGCTTTCGGAGTCAATTGTCTATACCAAGAACAATACATTTGTACTTTGTTTCAAGAAGTAAGACTTGCTTGTCTTAGAACGATTCCAAATCTATCAACTATTAAGAGCCTATCTAATAGAGCCTTGAGTACGATCTTGTCGATGTGACGTTGCTAAAGATGTTTGGAACGCAAATCATGCCCATGACTTTGAGCTTTTTCCAGTTTATCATGTTAAGAAAAAGTTTGAATATAATCAAGCATTCTTGACTCAGGGTTTAGACAACCATGCCATTCAAATAAATTTGAAACTATTGCTCATTGCTTTGAATGTTAGTCTTTCCGTGTGTAAATGGATCAATCGCTGATTATGGAACACAATAGCCATTTATTTGTTCTAGCCTTAGCTTAAAGGTCTTTAAACAAAGAATACGACCTTACAACTGATGTGGCACCACTTGCTTCATTCTAAGCTCGTAAGTCGATAACATAGCTTACCTTCAATAGTTTGAGGTTTCTTTTAAAGTGGAACACTCAAGCAGTATCCGATACTTTGTGAAGATAATGAGTTGCTAAGTTAATTTCAATAACATGAATTCTTTAGTAAGATGGAATCTCATTCCTTTTTTTGTTCCTCGTTTCCTATAATTCTTATCATACTTTATCTCATAATTTTTAAGAACCATTTCTTTTTTAAGAGTCTTTGACCTTTATATTTTGTTAGGTATAATTAAGCATCTAATGCGCCATAAAACAAAGTTCCATCTTTTCCTTTAATTCACACTTGAATTACTACATCAATGAGTCCTACTCATCTATGTATTAACTGAAAAGATATGTTGGTTGTCAATATTGACAGTTTTCAGTTTGCAACTCAATATTTCATGGTTTTATCAAAAGTACCTATTATTTTGAATACATGATGTCCAACCTTTCTTTCGGACTTTGTTATAAAAGTCATTTATGAGAATGTATTTTAGAATTGCTTTACTTTCCTTTGAGAACCATTCTAAAAGATTTCCTTTACCAATCATGGAACACAATACAGTTTGATTTGGAATTTTACAAATATAAGTGCAAAGTATAACCATTTATCAGGTAAATAACATAATAAGTTTGAAAATTAAAAGGTATTCATGCAAATTTTAAATCTTATTAAACGTCTTATCCACGCATTAAATTTGTCCCCATTTGGCGAGAATAAGTCGATTCCAAGATCCAAAGAAACAAAGATGTGGTTAAGCATGCTTTGGCTTGTCTTAACACTCAATCTCCTAAGGTAAGAAACGCTTTGCTAATGGCTCCAAGCCACACTTGGTTGAATAAATCGTCGCATCTAATGCTCTCTTAACAATTTATTCACTTTGCCATGACATGTTAGGACTCCATCACTCATATCGTTGAGTACAAACAAAACCAACTTGCATAACCGGTATGCCTTATGATTCTAGGGAGTAGTACTAATGCCTCGCTTTGGCGTAGGCTATCACTACTCTCAATAGGTCGATAAGTGTTGTATTGGATTGGCAGTTTTACTCAATATTTAGGGACCTAGGGTTTCTATGTTAGTTGATTTAAGTGAACTTAATTAATTATTTCAACATTTGATATCCTAAACATGCATCTAACATATAATTCATACATAAATGATCATAAATCAGTAAAGCATAAGCATTTTGATTCATATTGGCAACTAGCATGACCCCTTGAATTCTACAAGTCTTCAAAAGGTCTTCTTTTGCAACTTCATGGCTTTGTCTTCCAAGAACTTCCGTCTTCAAGACTTGACCGAAATTATGCAACTACTAGTATCTACGATTAGGACTAATCTAAATATTAAGGTAAAAAAATACTCAACGGTACGTAGGCCGTTTTTAGATTTAGAAAAATACATTACGGATCGCAGTCCGTATTTTCTATCCTAATCTGTTCCCACTAGTTTCCATTTTATAAAATCTGTGAGAGAATATACATTCCATTCATCCATTCACTATTTGTGAATGGCCCATGCATTTTACAACGATAAACAAGTAACGATGCATAAACTTGCGATAACTAGTAACTAATCTAGGTGGTTAATCCAATTAACAAGCCTAATTAAAACTAGTCAAAGTTGTTTTAACCGATTATGTAAATAAGCACAATTAATATTTGAAGCTCCCACTAAGTTCCGCATCCATCTTAATTAATTCAATTAATTAAGCCGGTAAAACCCAATTATTTGCCAAAATTAAATTTTGCAAATGTCGCTATTTAAATCAGAGGCCTAGCCTCTAAAATTAATTAAAATAATTAAAACCAAATTAGATTAATAAAATAATTAAAACGGCAAAATAAGCAAACACGAAGCCCACACTATACGGCTTGGCGCACGTGCCATATGAAAGTCAAGGTTGTCTAACAACCCCATACTATACGGGTTGGCGCACGTGCCTTCACCACCCCACGTAGCACAATCTAGGTGGAGCCTAGTAGCGTTTGCTACGGGTTACAAGGTGCTAGACACAAGGCCACGGCTACTTGCCCCTTTACACCAAAACACCAAGCACCTACACACACTCAAAACACTTTCACACCATACCGCACCATAATAGCCATGGGCTGCGATATGACAGCTGCACGCACGCACGTAGCACATTCGTAGAACGCTGCTGCTTGGTGGTGCTGTTGCGTTGTTGCTGTGGCTGGACGCACATGCCACACACATGGCCACACGCAACCATCGAGCAGCCCCTTAGCAGCCACATGCGGGATGCTATGCAGCCTAGCTAGCCAAGGGAGGCTTTGCCTCGATTTGCGTGTCATAGCCTCAGGATTTGATTCCAAATTTTGCGTAACAATTTTATTAATTCTAAATTAATTTTAGAACTAATTTTCATGAGCAAAATTGAAATTTTAAACAAGTGTAACTTAAATAAAAATCATCCAAGTGCATGTAACCAGAATTATTTCCAAGAATCATTCTTTGAG